AAAGAAACAAAAAAAACTTCTTGTGAACATCTTTTTTGTGTGATCAAAGGATCAGTGAAAAGAGTTTTTTTTAATATTCAATTATTTATTTATATGCTTTTATAAAAAATTAAAATATAGAATAATTAATTTTATTAATTTGAATATCAATTTTTGTAATATTTTTTTTTTAGTATTTGATAAAACTTTATTTATCTCAATTTATATTTATCAAGAATTGACTTTATTAAAATTTTTATTTTTATTTCTTTTGATTTTGACTTATCTTTAATAATTGTTTTACTTGATTTAATCTTAAATTTTTTAATATTTTTTAAAACTTGATTAACTTTTGAATTCTAATATCAAAATTATTCTAAATTTTATAACTGTTATAAAATCAAGTTCAGGTTTCATAGGTTCTATAGATTTAAGCTAACCAGTTTCCTTCATTAAATCTTTTAAATTTTTTTTTTTATAGTTACAAAATTGGTTGTTAATTATTTCTCAAATTCAATATTTGCTTTTTCTAAATAATTTGATTAATTAATAAAGATAGGTTTAATAATTTAACAATAATTTAATTCAATTTTCTCCTGGGTTAGAGTTTCGAGTGGTAATTTTTTACTTACAGCATTGATATTAACACAATATTTTTTCAAGTTGCTATTAATCGAGAATATATTTTATATTTAACTTAGACACGTGCTTGCAAAAAATAAAGTATAATTGATATAGTAATTTCACGTGAACACAAAAATTCATCCCACTTGTCATACCACCGGAAAAAAAAAAATGTAACTGATCAAGATACTGCGCACAGCCTCGCTTGTCATTGTTAGGGCAAGCATAGGTATGAATTATTTCAATGGTTTCTGTCTATTTCTCGTTTATATAATATTTCAAAAGAAATAGTGAGGTAAAATGTCTATCTAATTTATATATAAATATATATAAAGTAAAAAACATGGAAGAGAGTCCTGATACGAATTTCTCGAAAAACGTGGAAGAGAGTCCTGAATCGAATTCTTTGGAAAACATGGAAGAAAGTTCTGATTCGAATTTCGCGAAAAACAAGAAAGAAATTACTGATTTCTCGAAATACTTGAATTCCTGGTATAGCAAAGCGTGTGTCGAATATGTTGATTTGGCCGGTGATTTTGGTGGTACGTAGGGTATTTTTTCTTTTTCTTTTTTTCCGACACGAATTTCCCGATCTGATATTATAAATGTCTGATGTTTTTGATCACACGAACTGTAACCAGGGAGCGGACTATTCATAGTCGAAGGCGACAGTTTGATCTTTAATTTTCTTCATGATCCCGATACACATCTTCTCGACTTCGGCGAAACATTTGGAGGGGGGCAGTTCCTGGCTTTAACATTTTTAGTTGAGAAGTTCATTGATGAACTCAAACAGCGTGGATGTAGATTTCACATTGTCGTTTTTGACGCACACAAAGCGATCTGGAATGATGATCCAAAATTACGGGTTGCCAGAGAAATAGTGCTATCGCACTTGAAATCATATCAACACGTCACAAAGGTTCCGATATATGAATTTGACAACTGGTGGGGGTCAGAGTTTGCCGAATATATCGAAGAGAGATTGCCTCTTTTCATCCTGTAGGTGATGATTCTATATATATCGATCACACATTGTTCACCTCTATTCACCTCGTACCTATTCCCTTATTAGATTGGGTGATGGAACCACCAAGGATTTGGAAATGAATTCCGTTGACGTTGATTCTTCAAAGGCTTCTATAATTTGGAGAGGATTAATCTATCACACTCTACATAATGATTTGTCTGCCGCTTTGATTCCGGGAATGGAATTTAGAGATTCTCGTGCTAAGGCCTTTGTGTTTGGTCGGGGTATGTGTTCATCATATTTTTAATAATGTTCGGAGACAAAGAATTAAATTTAACGAAACTTTTAATAGATGGTAATGTGACATTTGAAAGCTTTGCTGCGGTAACGGAAATAGTGTCACTATGCAAAAATATATTGGAGGAAAATAAATTGTCGAGAAGTGTTGCCGATTTTGTTCTTTCAGATGATAAAAATTTGCTAAATTCAAATGAAAATCAAAGTATATGGAAGAAAGGAGGAAAGCGAGTTGCTCTTGTATTTATTTCTTTAATCGGTATCTTGAGAAATAAATCTTCACCGGAATATTGGTCTCTGGCGAGATTATTCCTACTCCATGTTTATCTACTTGACAATATTGCCTTGAAATCTAGGACTTTACCCCAATTGTCAGAAGAAACCGAAAATTCAGCAATCAAATTCATGGATCATTTTTTTGTTTATTGTTCTCACACGCTGATCAACGGTGTTCTCAATGAGGCACTAAGAAATTTCGAGGATCTGAATCATAACCTGGCAGATCTTTTGGATGCACGAATCTTTGCTTCCTTGGTGAAATTTCAGAAAGATGGCGACTTAAGCTTCGACAAATTACCAAAAGATTTTAAACAAGATTTTGATGCTGCGTGGAATCTGTTGAAAAGTCTTTTTCATGACGATGAAATTGTCGATAGCATATCTAGATATTCGAAAAAACTTCCTAAACTCGAATTTGCAACTTATAAATTATATGATATAAAGTTATCACTGCTTCCTATCGACTTTAAATTGTTTTCTGATTACCTTCATGACGTGGAGTTGGGATATGTCGATGAGGATGAGATCGAGGTTGACACCGAAGCTTACGGTCTGTCGGGAAGTATTCCGTTTGAAGATTTTACAATTTGGCTTTCTTCGGAATCGAATGAAAGTTCGGGACTTAGGGAATATCAAAAATACGTCAGATTCATGGAAAGGTAGAATATATTTCTGGATCATGCGTCGTTAATAATCTGAGTGAATTAAATTCTCATGTCACTTCACTTCATTTAGATATGCGAGGTCATTGGATGGCACGCAGGGATTTTACACCCTATCCATTTCCACCGAAAAGAAACAAGCGGAAGCCGCGGTTGAAAAAAGTTCAAGCTCGAAAAAGTTGTTGGAACGGATAGAAAAGGAGAAATTAGAAAAATCGCTAAAAGAATCAGAACAATACCTTGAAAGGGCCATCGCTGAGGTTTCGAAAATTGAAGACATTATGCATAAATTGGAATACCTTAAGACCAAAATTTCCAAAGAAGATAAATTAAAACATCCGGCATCGATTATTCGCGCACAATTTTACAAGTAAGTTTAACATTTAAGTTGTACATTTATTTTATTATTGGTTTTTTTTTTTTTTGGTCGTCTTGTGAAGATGTAATAAACAATTTAAAATTATTTCACAAAAATTAGATTGCAGCTACTGGTAGAATCTTGGGGTAATTATTGTAAGTTAAAGAGGATCACTAGAAGGCGTGATAGAAACTGGCACGTAGTTCCCGTGGAGACATACCGCCAGGTGTTTTACATTGCATCGAGATTTGTAAAGTTCCTCGACGACGAAAGATATGATATTTTGTTGAAAATATTAGAAAGAATGGGTATGGATGACTCGAGAAATAGATTGATCAAAATGCGCGAAGGTCATGAATCATCATCACCATCGGCGAAGAACAAGGTGAAGCAAAAAGGTAAAGGAAAGGGAAAGTCGAATAAAAAGAGCGAGTCCACTCCAAGTGATTCCGGTGGCTCCATAACTTACAATTGGGAATTTAACATGCCAAGATCGTCGATTGACCTGAGATTGGATGGAGGTATATCTGACTCTAGATTCCAAATGGTAAGCCCTTGATGACAAAATCACATTCATGTTAGGGTACTTGTACTTATTTGTTTTATCATCTATTTGTGAAGTTATACGCCGGCCACTTAATGGACAAAAACACAAATAGTGTTGACGATCCAAGAGTAAAAAGTTTTAGACCAGGTTGGCACAATATCAATTTAATTACCAATCGTCCATTACGACATGCATCGAATCTCAGAAACATTGTTTGTGAATAAAATAATTTAATCAGATAAATGGCAATGCGAGGTGTTGGATGTTATTGACAATAATGAGAGTGCTCTGATTTGTTGCCCAACTTCCAGTGGGAAGACATTTATAAGGTATTCGGTTTTGAGGTTGCATAAAGTTTCATCGACTTTATAACTAAACTTTCTATTGCAATTTTTGAATTTATTAACACCATTAGTTTCTATGCCATGGAAAAAGTTTTACGTGAAGATGACGAAGGTATTTATAAAATAATTCTCCAATTCCTGGAAGCATTTTTTTCTATAGTCAGAAGTCACGCCTGACCGTTATTCTTACAGGAATATTGGTTTATGTTGCTCCTACCAAGGTAAATATGATGTGATCTTTGCCATCTAATTTCGAATCATGTTTGAAGAACCTTTATTACTTAATTAGGCGCTTATGAATCAAGTTTCGGCAGAAGTTTATGGACGATTTAAAAAGAATTATGAGAAGGCCGGAAAATCTTCATGGGGAACTTTTACTAGGTGATCAGATCACAAATGAAGTCTATCGATAAGTTTATTATCCTTAAGTAACTAATATGATTCCTTAACATTCAAGGGACTACCGCGAGAATCACGATAAATGTCAAATACTCATAACAGGTAATTTCGGCTAGGTTCCCTTTTATTATTATTCTACGCACTAATGTCATCAAATTTATGACCTCGAAGTACCCGAGATGCTAGAAATTCTCCTGTTGAACCCCGCTTCCGTTAAGTGGGTGTCAAAAATCAAGTAAGTTTATCAATCATCAAATTTGTCTTCTATTATCGTGGATACACAGTAACCCGTTTCCGTTAATAGACGTATTATATTTGACGAGATTCACTGCATAGGGGAAGATCGAACCGGTGTGATCTGGGAACATTTGATATTATTGTAGGATCGGTGTTAAAAATTTTGAATGCATTGATTGGGACATCATTTAACTTTGCATGTTTCTTCGATTAAAAGATCACATGTACCAATCCTTGCATTGTCTGCGACTGTTGGTAATCCGGACGAATTTAAGAATTGGATTGAATCGGTACAAAAAAATAGAGGATATAAGACGAGGATCATCAAGACCACCAAACGTTATTCTGATTTGGCGTACTTTTCATATATCCCAAAATATCCGTTGAAGGAATTCAACACGCTAAATCCAAAAGAGTGTGAAGACACTTTGTTTTCCATTCATCCATTCTCAACGGTGTCTCCAATTCTTGTTGCTGAGAATGGAATTCCACCGGACATAAAGATGGTGCCAAGGCAATGTGTGGAATTCTGGGATGTGATGAACAAAGTCTCGAATGGAGATCCGGACATTCAGCCTCTGGATCCGGACAAGTATTTTAAAGATATTGGTTACATCGTGAAGGATGATGTAGATCAATATGAAGATGATCTAAAGAGAGTATTTGAATCTTGGGCGAGGGATTCGACTAAATCAGCTCATGTTAGAGAGATCATTTCGAGTCTTGACAACTTTAAAGATCGATTCGCGGAGTTGGAGGTAATTCAGCAATTAAGATTGATGTTTCATTTGTTTATTATGAAAAAAACGGGATGTTTTCTTATGTCCAGCAACTTTTTTTTCAGAATAAAGCTAAAGAAGATGAATTGGATGTATACGACAATAACTTCTTGAAACACTCGATCGCTCCTTTATTGACCGAGCAAGTTTTTCTTTCCTTTTTTCTTTTTGTTTGTCTTTTCTACGACTGACGAATGCCAAAACAATTTTGATCGATTGATTCTTATAGATTATCTGCTCAAGATAAATTACCAGTAATTGTATTTCACATGGATCGCACAGGTTGTAACTCCCTTGCCATGCACCTGGAACAACAATTAAGAGAAGCAGAAAAGTTGAAGCGTGAGAATGACCCGGTTTATCAGGCAAAAAAGAAAAATGCAATTTCACAGAAGGAATATCAAGAAAAGATGAAAAAACGTACTCGTGACCGCGATCCTAAGAAAAAAAGTAAGGCTGATGACGATGATGATGCCGAAGATATAGAAGAACCCCCTCCCACCATTTTTGACTGGGAAGCACATGACCCGGATTTTACTTTCGTGAGTCCAAGGCATCGTATGCCGGAACTGGAATACGAAGAGCTAAAGAACACTTTTCGATATAAAATGACCGGCGAATTATCTGGAATTTTGGATGCTCTAGATAGAGGTAGAATCTTATAGGGTTTTCATAATTATATTGATGCAGAGTTTATGAAGCAATTTAATTGTATATATATATATATATATATATATATCTCTATAGGTATCGGTGTTCATCATGCGGGCTTGCCCAAAAAATACACTCAAGTAAGTTATAATAATGCGATTCACGTTTCATTTTCGACACCGATTGTTGATGCATTCTTCAATTTTCTTTCGAACAGGCGGTTGAAATTCTATTCAGGAGACGTCACATCAGAGTAGTGTTTGCAACGGGAACTCTTGCGCTTGGAATTAATATGCCCGCGAGATCTGTCGTGTTCGCAGGAGATTCAATATCCTTGACTGGCAAGTTTGGTGGCATACTTTCATCTCGGCCGTTAATTTTTGAATGCTTATGATCGATGTTTTGTTTCAAATTAATCACTCCCCTCAACGAATAGCACTCCAATTTCGGCAGATGGCGGGAAGAAGCGGAAGGAGAGGATATGATCTGTTGGGCCATGTCGTATTTTTCGGAATCACCCAGGCGAAAATAAAAAGACTCTTGACATCGAGTGAGTAATATATAAATGAAACGCAGAATCCTGGATTTTTTACTTGAACATTAATATATATATATTTGTTATATTTGTTCGAATCAGGTTTGGCGAGACTTAGCGGCAATTTCCCCTTGACGACAACTCTCATCTTACGTTGTTTGACGCTTCTCAAACAAGCTGATGAAAGGAAGGAGGCCGAAGAATCTGTAAGGGGTTTACTCGTTGACACATTCTTTTGCCTTGGACAGGAAAATTTGGCTAGGCAATCCAAGTACCATCTGAGATTTTCGCTTGAATATTTGATGCGTGAGAGATTAATAGGTATAATTCCTGCAATTGTCATATATTTCTGAATTCGAGGTGAATTACTTTTTAAACCAGGAGCTTTCCATTATAATTGATCAGATAAATCCTGTAATCCTATCAATCTTTCTGGAATGGTCGCTCACCTTTGTTCCGTCGAGCCAAGCAATTTCGCGATGGCTGCATTGTATAAACAAGGAGTTTTTCATCAACTTTGTTCAGAAATAGACGACCGCGACCAACTCGATCAAACCTTGGTCTTGATTCTCACCTACATCTTCAATCGAATAAAACTGCGAAACATCAACAGTTATTGGTATAATGATCTCCTTACCAAATATTCGTCCAAGATATTTCTACCACCGCTGCCGGAAAAAGTTAGACGAGTTTTAGACCAGCACAACGATCGAATATTAAAAATTTATTCGGAATACGTAATCGCGTTTGCAAAAAAAAATTCATCCGAAATAGGATCCGACAGTGTTTTGCCCTTATCTAAACTCCAGTTCCCAACCCGATCAGATTCTCAGGAGAACGCCTTGATCTCGAAATTAGAAACATTGGCGATCCCCTTTGACGCACGGTCGCCTTTTATTTCCATGTGTAGTTCTTTGGGAGATCAATTTTACACCATTCATGATTTGATCAATCACATTCATAGTAAAATTCATCTGGATCTCAATAGTATTCCTTATATTCGAACGGATGAACAGTGCCTCAATAGTTATTTGCTAGACGTAAGATTTTGCTATTTGTATTTTTACCTCCGAAAGTAAAAAACCGATCACTCACTTATTACTTATTTTACATCATTCATTTTACGATTAGTTTTTTATCAATGGACAAGATAAAGTGCTTACATTGGCAAACGGCATTAAACCCGGAGAAATGTGGCAGGTGATTGTCACTTTTTTTATATCTTTTTATTGCAGCCTTATTACCATCGTTATTTGTACTAAAAAGAAAAAATTTTTCTTTTTTGTCTTCCCAATGACAAAGCTCCTCCGAGATTTCGAAATAATTATCGACACGATCATCACATCGTTAAGGATTAATATGATAGATAGTGAAAATATAGTTTTAGAGAGGTTAAAGGCGGTCCGGGATCGATTCAGCGCAAATTTCAGGAAGATGTGGGCGTAGGTAAAAAAAAAAAAAAAAAGAAAAAAAAAAAGAAAAGAGAGAAATTTTTATTTTTATTTTTTTTTTTTTTTGGTTTATTTCCTCGTTGCTCACCGTTGTAAAACATATGCTCTAAAGTGTATGCAAATAAAATCTTGGTATCATTAAAAAAATCTTGTGCTCAATATTTGCATGATTAACAGGAAATTTTGGCAAATAAAGTTTGTTAGTCGTTGACAAGAACATAAACATTTAAAAACATTCCATTTGTTAAAACACTGCTAATTTGATCGAGGTTTAAATGAGGCCAATGTTGATCTATCAACATTAACCCAGGTTTGTTGATCTCGTGATTATGTTGACTGCCGCTTTCCAAAAATGGTCTGGAATGATCATCTCCGAAAAGCGGGGTTAAATCTGTTGTTGATGGTGTCACCAAGAGTGTTCTATGACAAAAAAAAAACAAACAAAAAATATATATGCATATATAATCAACCCATTCCGTTAACTGTGTCGTTTAAAAAAATGCTCAGTCAATAGCTACCTTTCATATTGTCTGAAGGAAACGTTACCCACAAGACGCTGCTGGAAAGCGATGTGTTTGGTTTTGTGTAACTCTACCAAATTTCTTTTAGGTGCAACTTGCTCTGAAATCAGCTTTTCAAGACTTTGAATGGAACGGCCCGCAAGGTCATGGACATTAAGTTGAATATTCGTGGCTGTTTGATAAAATCATGAGGTTCGCTAAAACGACGTAAAAGAAAGGCAACACATTCTTTTAGCTGATTCAAATCACGGTAATTACATCTCCAGGCCTTAGGGTATCCGAATAAATGACGCGGGGGCATATAAGTCTTGTAGAAGACAATGTTTGTTATGAAGGTCTCGGAAGAATTTCTGACTAAATTTTCACAAAAAAAAAAAAAAAAATCAATATCCTGGAGGGAACATTAGAAGGCTCTTCCTTATATTCTTGTTGGGTAGAAATTTTCTCCCTACAGAAATATCAATGTCTACCTGGTCTGATGAATCTCCTACCAACTTCACACTGAACGTGTCCATCAAATTCCTCACAATTTCTAAACCCCATTGTTTGAAATTGTAATTTCTGAATTACTGGTACCATTCCTGCTTGATGTAGCATCCCATAAATTACTACAAAAAACAAATTGAATATTGCCCAGATAGCCTTTGAGATCGCAAAAGAAAAAGTTGGTTAGATTATTACGGTGCTTCTTTGTGACAAAGTGCTAAACTGAAACTCACCCAAAATGATTTGGGTAATTTTTGTAATTTTTCTGATGGCACAATTATAACTGAAATCAGAAGTGGCAGCAAGAACCTCGGCTCTTGATGTGGAATCAATGACAATAGTATAAATCCACAAAGGCCACTGTAAATGATTACTGTTTAGCATTATAAAACATTGTTAGGACATCATAAATCGATGTGAAACAAAATGTTGGATGGAGACTAAATCAAAATCGTTTATCTTGTACGTTTGACTCTATACAACATCCTAAGAATGGTACTTAAAGAAGTTCGGTTTGATATTGGTCTCGTGAAAATTTGGTTATCGTCAAAAACAAAACTTCTTGATGACGGAACCATATAGACCGTTGAAAATATTTTTTAATTGATCAATTGTTTAATTTAGGACATGCTTACCCGTTTTGTATTTACGTTTAGCCATGATTCTCATGCAATTGTAGCTTGCAATAAGGTCTTTCATCGTCAATAAAACGAGCGGACCAAAGAGCAACACAAAGTTTACAATATGAAGGTATCGCGGGTGAAGACCATGTTCGGCTAGATTTTTCGAGTCGGAATTGTAGACGAGATTATTTAACGGGGTGAATACCAATTCCCCCTGAAGAATTATTACATGCCAATAATAAATAATGTGACGCATGGAATATGATCGTGAGAAGCACAGAATACCTTCAAACCAATCTCAAGAAGCTTCATCGGATTTTTCAATAATGCAAAGGTGTGTTCAATATTCAGCAATTCATCACCGAGGGTGATTTTCAATGTCCCAAAATACAAAGAATCTGTCAAAACACAGATCGATGTTGCGATCATCAAGCCAAGACATGCGGGTACGAGTCCCATGAGTTTATCGAACCTAAACACGATAAATGACATCATCAAAATTAATTAATTATTTTGCTCGAGTTCGTTCATCAAAACTTGTTCCTAAAATATCACTGACCGATTTCTTCGTTGTACCCTCGCGACAAAGAACACATGATGAAGGAATGCAAGGCCTAATGGAAATGCGTACAGCATAAACGTAATCCTCGCGAAACATCCTAAAGCTACCAGAAATCCAAAAATAAAAGCGTAGTTTGAACGAAACTCTTCCTACAAACATGACCATTCAGTAAAACTTATTGGAGCGGTCCAATCGCCTTTAAATAAAACCAAACTACCTGCACAGAGGGATCACCTTGTTTTTGTTTAGGCGGCACGTACGGAGTCGACCCCTTCACATAAACGACGAAGCACAGTGCCAATATAATGGACTCAACTGCGTTCGAAAAAGGTCGAGTGTGGAAAATAAGAAGAACGTACGATGATGCAAAAACCAGCAGTGATCGAAAAGTATTTCTCGGATAATAAGAACTCGCCGTCATGTAACCAGTGTAGTCTAAACGAAAAAAAAAAGTATTAATTAATGTGTAGAGGTGTTAGGGTAATTATATCTTCATACCAATCACGAACGACAGACAAAAGAACGCGAGTCTTTCCGTTAAAAAAATTGATCGCGAATTAATAATATCTATTTGTAAAAAAAATTTTATACTTAGCAAATGTGGTGCTCTTTTTTTTTTTTTTTTTAAGAAAAATAATATTCTGATTCTACCTGAATATCCTAGTTGAAGGCTCCATGAATTCAGGGTCTTTAAAATCTTGAATGGTAAGCCGACGGTCAAGGCTCTTCAGTTGTCGAAAAGATCATCGCGTTAACACGCGTATAAAAGTTGGAACACCTGATTTTTTTTTTTGTTTTTTTTTTTTTTTTATACATACGGAATCACTATGGATCGACATTGTGGACTCTTTTCAAATTCCCAAGGTCTATAAACTTCGTAACCAAGTACATCCTCTATATTATATGCACTGATAATTTAATACTAATATACGAGAATTGTCTTTATCATATAAACACTTTGAATTCTCTGAGGTACGGACCTCCCATAATTTCCGGGGATTGGAAAAATTCATCGGGATGAATATATCCTGGCAGCAAAGAGCACCACAGTCTCGTAACACATAGCAAGAAATAGAAATATGGTAGAAAATTGTTCCAATCACGAGACATTGATGCTAATATGTTCCGAGGTCAGGTATGGAAAAAGAAATTGATGAGTCAACTGGAAGAGGCGTACCTCGAGAATAGAATTCGGGTCTTTGATGAAATGCGGCAGATTTAAATAATTAGGAAAAACGTGGTTAATTAACATTGGTAACTTTTCCAAATTCTCAATTAATTGCGATTACGCATCGCGAAAAAAAAAAGAGCATTATTTTTGTAAAGCGGTGACGTGACACGACCATTCTTTTTAAGATAACATAACAAACGCATGCGAGAAAAATATTAAAGCATGCATTTAGCGACTCGGCGATTTCAATGAACGGGATCATTACATGTTACCTTCTTTTTTTTTCACCAAAGTAGAAATGTTCTCAAGAACGTAATCTTGTCACATACGCATTAATAATGCAATGCGAAGGTTGATCATTTCGGAAATAACCAATCAATTTATATTAACTTATCTGCAATAATGCCATATGACTTAATCTTTATTGAGAATATATATATCTTTATTCACTAGCACTAGTTGAAATTATATATTATTCAATATTAAAAATATTGAAAAAAAATCAACAAATAAATTTTGATGTATTGTAATAAAAAATTTATATAATATTATAAGAAAAATATAGTATATGGTATTGTATAAAATTTATATACTACTACAAAAAAAAATTTATATATTATAACAAAAAAACTTAACAAAAAAATTAATACTATAATAAAAAATTTAACAAAAAAATTGATAAAAAAATTATATACTATATAATAAAAAATTTAAAAATTTATTAAAAAATTATAAAATCAATTGATTAAACTATTTGTTACTTTTTTCTTTCTCTTTTTTTTCTTTTTTCTACTTTTATTTTTTTTTTTTTTGCATATTTTTTTTTTTCAAAAATTTAACTTGATTTTTTTAAAACTAATCTCAATTTCTTATATTTGATAATTTTTTATCTTTTAAATTTAACTATCAATTCCCAAGTTACAATTACAGGATTTATAGTTTTTTAATATCACTTAAGAATTAAAATTAAAAATTATCTTCTAATCAGATTTATCAATTATCCTATAAAAGTTATACTCAATTATTCAAAATAAACTTAAATCAGATTAAATTATATAAAGATAGAACTTCTGGCCTTCTATCGATCAAGAACTAAAAACTATAATTGTATTATTGAAAAAATTATATAAAAAAAAGGCTTTTGATCTAACCTATTATAAATACCTTAAGATCTTTTTATACTAACAAACTCTAGAACTCCTGCTCTCCTAACTCAGGATATTTCAATTTGATATTTTACTTAAATGAAAATTAATCAATAGAAACTGATCTGATATTACAAGTGATAACAAAAAAGACAAAGTATTTTCTTTTAAGTTCTAAGTATATAATATTTGGAAATATTGAAAAGTATAACAAATTTTGTCATATACTGTATATATGAAAAAAGACTAGCTTACTAAAATATAAAATTTGTAAATTTAATATTAACTAGTTTAATTATGTTATTGATGATTATATATTAATCATTTAGTCTCTAATTAGATTTATCTACTCAAAAAGTGATAATAGCTTTAGCTAAGATTAATCATAATAAGTTATTATTAATTTGTATATATATAGAAATATATTTTTATATAAAATAATTAATAGCTACTATATAGGAATTTTTATTCAAATCTTTCTGCTAATTCACTATTTTTCTAAAAATTTCCATTTTTGATAATTGTTTAAAGAAAAAAGGATAACACAATTCAAGCTCAGCAAACACAGTAAAGAGAAATACAACTACATAATCTCATTTGAAGAAATACATAAAGTTCTATAAACAAGTCACCAGAAAAAAAGTATATAATAATAATATTAGTACTTTATCCATCAACTTTTGAGGAAAAGGGAAAACAAAAGTAAATCTGAA